GCTGATATGAGCGGTCTCATTAAGGTCTGGAAAGTGGAGAACAAGGAGGAAATCTGGTCTTTTGAGGTTGGAGACCTGGAAGTAAGTTAGAAGCCCGTCGCTCTGCTTGCGTTGCTGGTGTTTGTGGACAGTATTTGAAGCGTGTCTCGTGCTGCAGTGGTTAGAGTGGCACCCCTGCGCTCCGGTCCTGCTGGCCGGCACAGCTGATGGGAACGTCTGGATGTGGAAGATCCCGAGCGGAGAGTGCAAGACCTTTCAAGGGCCCAGCTGCCAGGCGACCAGCGGGAAGATCCTTCCTGACGGTGAGAGCTGAGACTAGCAGAAGACTCTGAGCTACTGGCTGTCTGTTGTTCTGTCTTCTAAGTGTCTGTCTGTCTTACAGGAAAGAGAGCAATCGTGGGCTACGAGGACGGAAGTTTACGTCTGTGGGACTTAAAACAAGGCAATGCCGTTTATGTCATCAAAGGTAATTTATCCTCCACATATCACTCGCTTTCCTCCGAGGGTCACTGATGCGGTTACGGGGGGCATTATTTACTCACCCTCATGTTGTCTCAAACCTGTACAGCACAAAGGGTTCAGATTGTTTGGTTTTTTTCTCCCCTAGTGTTTGCTTTGTCAAGTCACTGGAGTCCAATGTAGTTTTCTATCCTGTGGACAAAAGCGGTCTCAAAATAATCTCTTTTGTGTCATATAGGTTTGAAACTAGTTTAAAGCTCTTACTGTCAATTAAGTGTTCAGCCATTTGAGATGTTTTGACCACAGTAGTCACAGTTATGGGTGGAGCTGCTTTCACACAATCTCTATTGTATAAAGCGCTATGTAAATAAAGGTGATTTGAATTGACGTGCTGATTATACCAGTAGATGTGATAAACTGGTAGAAATTTGTCGACTGGTAGAGATTGAAAGGTCATCTCTATCGCGCTTATGTTCACGTGATGTTGTAGTGCTGTGCCATCACAAAAGTTTCTCATTTGCAATAATTTTTCCATTCAAGCACAATAAGCAGTGAAAAAGATCTCGGATTGGTGCTCTCTCGCCGTCTAATCGCACACAACTCAAATAAAGCCGCCGGTCACACATCGTGAGTGAACTTTGTGTCACATTCTGGCAGCTAAATGCGCTTGAATGGACAAATTCACACACCTGTCAAAATGCTCTTCTTGGTGAGTGTTGGTGTAAATGCAGTCGATTATGTTTGTTTTTTTGTAGTCTCAAAATGTGGTGATGCGTCAATTATATGATTATGAAATGTCAATTATATGATTTTTGTCATTGTCCACTCCTAGTGACGGTGATGATAAAGTGGGACACGCAGGATTCTGTGGTTTGCAGAAAGCTATTCAGGTTGTTTGTGCTGCAGGGCAGATGCTGGCCTGGAAGCTGTGTTTGGTTGGGTTGTTCTGTTTCAACACTTCTGAGTGTTTGACCGATGAAAGCACAGTATGTGAGATAATGACACGATCACATGGGGAGAAAATAAGAAAAAAAGCAGTTTATTACAGAGTTATTGACCCTGTCATCAGAAAAGTTCAGTGCTACAGAAGAGACTGTGGCTGTTGTTTTCTCAGGTCATGATGGTCATCAGGGAGCGCTGACTTCTATAGCGTGTAATAAAGAGGGAACGCTGGCTCTGACGGGGTCAGTGGATGGTCAGGCTAAACTCTTCAACACATCCACAGGAAAGGTGAGTAGAGTTACAGCTGTGCCGCATCAGTGTTTTACATGTGACACTGTATTGCTATTTTTATGTGTTATTTAATAGATCAGGGAAGCGTGTGACTGTCGGACGCACAAGTGTTTCAGCAGAGTTTCTCTGAGCTGATGCTGTTGTAGTGTTATAAAAACACTATAAGTGTTCTCCATTTTCCTTAATGTAGTTTGAGTTTTATGCTACACTTTAAATGCTTTGTTACATTTTCCACCCAACTCATTAGCAATTAATCAGTTAAATGTTCACACAATGACTTGTCAAATATGTATTTTTTTGTATTATGATTGGGCCTGAAGCGAGATCTGGATGTTTCCAGCTGCACTGTGACGAGTGTCCAGTTACAGTTTAGTGTTCATTTCTAAGCACTGGACGTCGATGTGATCTGATGTACATCATGACTTGAACACCACCATAAATCATGTGTGATGCTTGAAATGTGATTTATTTATTTTTTCTTTAGGTGTTATGCTCATTGTCCAATGAAAACAGTGAAGCAAAAGACTCAATGCAGGAGCAGGATTCCAACTCTGTAGAATCTGTGGGATTTTGTAATGTGTAAGTAAAGCAAATAGTCTATTAATGTAATATATATCAAAACAAATCATTTTCATTAAGGCATCAGTATTTAGTAGCGTTTTGATGTGCTGTAAGCCCCTCCATGATTTTGAGCTGCTGGTCAGATTTCTGCACTAACCTCACTGATCGCACACAGTCACAGCCAATGCTGCTCTACAAGCAGGAGGAGCTGTTTTTAACATTTTTACAAAATATATATATATGTATTAGTAGGGATGTAACGGTATGAAAATTTCATATCACGATTATAGTGACCAAAGTTATCACGATTATCAATATTATCATGGTTTTGTTCAAATTAGATGAAAACGTTCAAAAAGAACTGATACACACACTGAAAACATTTCAATAAGTTTTATATTTGAAAATCAACAAACAAACTAATACAATTGGCAGCTATATGCACTTTTTTTAGCATAAACATTAAATGAACATTAACATGAAGCCCTAATAATAATACGTTCGTTCGTCTTGGCTCAAAGCCACTTGCTGAGAACTTTTCTTCGCGGAAGCTTTGCGTTAAACAAGTGAGATAACGAAATATTTAATCTCTAATCAATATTTTTTGTCCAATTATTTGCCCAGCTAGTTTTGGTACTGAGGTAAAAGTTACCTTGCATTCGCTATATAACAGTGGGTGGTGGTCACGAAGATGGCTGAGCAAATTTGATGCGTTTCCCCTTTTGCAGCGACTTTCTTCTTGCAAGATCGGCAGACAGGGTGACCGTCCTCGATTAAATTGCCTTCAGGACTCTTGTAAAAGCCAAAATACGACCAGACCACCGATTTGGTCCTCTTAGATGGCTGAAAAATCTCCCGAGCGCTGTCACTGCCTTCCCCCATTTCGTCTTGTGCAACAAAACAACAGCAACACCACTGCATGCTGCTTCTGCGTCAGACTGATGCTGGCTGGACAGGATTTACCGCGAGTTTTCAAAAGCGCGATAATCAAACACGGTTTTGATGATAATTAAATTTGAAACGGTAATATTAACTGTCAGTGCATGTTATCGTGAAACTGGTAATCGTTACATCCCTATGTATTAGTATTGTATAAAGTGCTATATAAATCTAGGTGTCTTGACTTTCAGGTTACCCTTAGTTGCTGTTGCATATCTGGACGGCACCCTGGCCATTTATGATATGAATTCACAGAGCCTCAGACATCGGTGTAAACATGAGGTAAAAACTTAGACTCTATAAATACGGAACCTGAATGTCTTCTCTCATATCATCTGTGTGTTGTTGAAGGGCTTGATGTGTGTGTGTGTGTGTGTGTGTGTCAGGTGGGTGTAGTGCACCTGCAGTGGGAGGAGGCGTCTGCAGTCGTCTACACCTGTAACCTCGCTGGCGTGGTCACTCTGTGGGATGCGAGGTCAGGAGTCATGATGTCAGAGTACTGCGGACACTCGGCTGAGATCCTTGACTTTGTGCTGAACAGGTTAGTCTGTTAAACCAAGAGTTCTCTAGGTTAATGTTCCATACATTATCAGCTTTATACTTCCATTATAAAACTTTTGAATTGATTTGTTTATTTTGGGCTTGTTCTTATTGTTTCCTGTTTTTCTACCAAGATCTTGCAACACGAGTGAGGCAAGACTTGTAATCATGACACAACTCAGATCTGTGTTTAAATACACCATTAACAGCCGGCTGTTCGCGTCGGTTCCACACGCACCGCATATCATTTCTGTCAATGCATTTGTCACTGCCTAAATGTTTTGGGAGTCACTTTGGTTGTAGAATGCGGTCGTCACTCCTGTAAATGACTGAGCGGTGTGTGTACAGAACAAGATTTAGCACTAAACGGTGAATTGACATCCGAATGTAGCTGCAGAGTGTGTGTGGCCATAGAGTCAGCATCATTTATTTTATAACTGTTTACTTTGACATTGGTTTCTGTGTTGTGATTGTCTGAAACTTGTAACAAGTGGAGAATCGAACAGAGCTTTGAAATCTTACTTCATGAGTATCATATACACCAGATCACTTCATTCTGCTCTGCTTTCATTTTTCAGAAAGCAACGATTGTTAAATAGAAAGTTCACCCAAACATGTAAAATCTGTCATCATTTGCTCAACCTCATGTCATATCAAGCTTTCACTCGTCATAAAAACAAACATGAGGGTTTTTATTCATAAAAGTTAGTCAGGATTTGTCCATAAAATTTAAATGAATGGTTAAACATGCTTTGTTGTCCTGATGCGTTCTCTCTCTATCATGGGTAAACATTAATTTGTGCTGTATCTTTTCCATACGTTGTCTTGTTGTGTCTGTGTTCACAGAGACGCGTCAGTCGCCGTCACCGCCGGAGGAGACCATCAAGCCAAAGTGTTCTGCCTGCAGAGACCCGACCGGTAGAGAACGTCTTCATCTGGATCCCATTAGACTTCAGCAACTGCAGTACACAGTCACCTGTAAACTGCAGCTTTTTAAAGTTTTAACAGAGCTGTGCTGTTCTGTCTTTGTCATTCTTGTCATGACTGAGTAAGCCTGACAGAGCGATTGTTCTTGTCTTTTGCTTAGGCTACATACAGCTGTAATTGGGATGTCACATACATTATATGGCCAAAATGATGTGGGTTTTATCTGTTCTAGTATTGTTTATAAAGACAAATCTCAGTACTTCACCATACAGTTACATTCTCGAGAAATGCGTGCCAGACGTTGATGCAGTCTGTTGCAGCGCTGTCATGCTGAAGTAGAACACGACCTTCCACAAACTCTGAAGCACATGTTTCTATAGAGTGGCACTGTATGATGAAGCATTGAGGTTTGTCCTCACAGAAATGACTGAAATAATTACACAGAAATAATTACACTCATTAATCAGAATGGAATGTCTACACTCGTTTGGCCATGCAGAGTATATAAAATTCAGTTCCAATAAGTTCTTGGTAAAAATGCACACTTAATCATAGGTTCAGATTTCTAGACCATTCAACTAAATGCTGGTCAAGGAACCGCTTTTGTCATTCTTCTCCAAGCGTTAGCTGTAAATCATTAGCAGTGACACAAATTCCCAACTGCCTGTGGACTGTCTTGGCAAAAGTTCAGTGCTGAATGAATGGCCATACGTTCTGTTGTGTTTAATCAATGTCATGTTGAAACAACATGAGTGCTGTCAACCTTAATTTTCTTCCTTTGTAACAAGTTACAAGAATGTTTGAAATGTGATGTGTGAATAAACACCAGTGATGTTAAATCCGCTCCAGGGGCTCGTTCCAATACTTCTGGCCTTTGCACTTTTCACTTGAAGTCAGGGTCAGAAATTAACAGGGTTTGGGGCAAAAATGCCATAAAAAAAAAAAAAACATTTAAGATGGAAGTGCAAAAAATGCTCCTGCACAAATAAACTAAATCATTAAGGCTGTTGTGATTAAAATGAAATGTGAAAAGTGTCAATGGCAGATATGCTCAGGTTGCATCAGATTTATAATTTTTTTTGCAACGCTGAGCATTATAACCAATCACACTATTTCTGATTTGCTTATAAATGCAATTTTTAAAAAAAAAAGTGTCGACAGTTTGTGTGATTGTAAAGAGTGCTTGCTTCAGTCCCATCACTGACTGTGATCCTGGTTAAAGAGGGCTTGAAGAACACAAGTGCATGCAGAACTGATTTTTAATTTCTGTTAAAATCTAATTCCTGTAAAATTCAAAATTATTCAAAATGTTTTCCCGGTTTTTTTCCTGCAGTCAGCATGCCAATTGCACGCTCCCTCAAAACTTGCGACATCTGTGGCATTGTGCCTTGTGATAAAACTGCACATTTTAGAGTGGCCTTTTATTGTGGCCAGCCTAAGGCACACCTGTGCAATAATCATGCTGTCTAATCAGCATCTTGATATGCCACACCTGTGAGGTGGATGGATTATCTCGGCAAAGGAGAAGTGCTCACTAACACAGATTTAGACAGATTTGTGAACAATATTTGAGAGAAATAGGCCTTTTATGTACATAGAAAAAGTCTTAGATCTTTGAGTTCAGCTCATGAAAAATGGGGGCAAAAACAAAAGTGTTGCGTTTATAATTTTGTTCAGTGTACATAATTCCTGTTGTGTGCGCACACTCTCAAGTGGTCAAGACTGCAAATGTGGGTATTGGGACAGACCTCAGTTCTGCAGAAGTGACCTGAAAGTGCAGCTCTATTACCTTCTAGTTGGATTTCTGATACGACATGCTCTGTGTGACAATGAGTACTAGTCAGTTAAACTATTTTAGAAACTTCACTGTATTCATTCAGTCACAGCAACCAGGACTGCTGAACTCCAGGTAATACTTCAGCAAAAGTATAATAATAATAGTTTTATAATTATTGTTGTAACACGCATGACTGTATAGCCGCAGATCTCATTAAGCCCCAGCCTGACCTCACTGATGACCCCATCTTGTGATTTTTCTTCAGTGATGTCCACTAGTAAGTGGGGAGCAGGAGTGATTCTAAACGAGAAACGTCTGTCACTTCGTTGCACTCATTCACTGACCACATTTCAATGTGTGTTTTTCTCGGTTAATCTGTTTCACAGGTAAAGAATACAATGGTAATAAGAAAAGTATCGTACAATGTACACTATTGAATATCTGTGTTTTAGTATAAATGTCCCTAATTTGAATTAGCTCAATTTTAAGAATGCAGTAATGTCTCCATTTCAGGTGTGTGTCTTTCTATACACTTTATCTGTTAGTAGTTACGCACATCTCTGACATCCCTCCTGACTCAAATTGTGTATATTGTCCTCCCTCTTTATCTGTCATGCGTACATGCTGTGCATGTCACAGGTTTGTAGGTTTGCTCGGGTGTTGCTCAGGGTTTTACGAGCGACGTTCCCCCCGGACTCGCCCCTGTTCACTTTCTCTGCTTGACAAATGACTTTGTCTCTTTCCAGCTGTTGTGGATCTTACCGTGTAGAGCTCTGATGAAAAATCAGGCTTATAATGGACTGTGCTATTGCTTTTTGCAGTTTGCTAACCTGCAAACTTTTCTTATTTTGTGCTAAACAACCTGACATGACCCTATAGTGATGAAGACCTGAGGAGTTTAATCTTCACTTCAAGCCAAGCTGACAAAGGTATGTTTTCTTTCTCACTTTTTAGTTGCTCTTTGAATAACATTTTAGGAAACCCAGCATTCATAAAGAAAGTATTGAATTTATGGTCAGGAGTTCCTCGTTCATGACTGTTATAAAATGGACACATACAAATTGACCATTTACAAGCAAAACATACAGTATATTAGCATCAGCTTTAATTTGTTATATGTTGATGTTGGCATTAAAACCTTTCTAATGGACATATTATAGGCTAAACATTTTTGTTATATATCAGAGCTAAATGTTCATTTTTACTTGTACTTGAAACATCTAATCTAGTATTGCATGTAATGCAAAGATGCTGAAAATGTTTAATAATTGCAAGGACGTTCTAAACGGAACTCTGAATGAACTGCTTAGTTTAAAGGTTTGGGAACATCAGTTAAGAACTATTAGCTTTGTAGATCACACGTACCTGGAATTGAACTTATAACCCCTCGTATTAGCAGCTTTTGTCTTATAAGGCAGGTTTACTACACCTTAGGCCTGTTTCACATTAAACACAAAAGTGCTTTTGTGTGTGTTCTGTGCTCTAGCTTGTTTTCTAATCTAACTTTTCTGATTTCTGACATTGTGTATCATGACAGTTGTTGGCTCTGTAATTAATTACTCTTGCTCCTCATTTGGAAAGGTTTCTGACTTTAAGAAATAAAGTGAGCAATAATATGCAACACAGGTGATCACTAAATCTAATCCAAACTAAATGTACAAATTAATAATAATTTCTAAGCCGTAATATTTCTAGTATGTCGTCACATTGCTCTGTCTTGCCACTCATTCGCTGGTTTAGGGTATCCTCATATTTTTGAGAAGGAGAACTGATAAATGTCCCGTTTCCAGTAGATAATGCACAATCCCGCAAAACCCAGACACATGAATCAAATTTGCACACATGACAAACCAAATTATCCAGAAAGGAAATATCATGATCAGAAGATCTGCTGTACTACTTATCTTTTTTTATTAAGCAGCATATAAAAGAAGGGGGGGCAGCTGCCACAAATAAGCACTAAAACCTTTCAGCGGAAGGGGAACAAAACTAATGGATTGCACATTGTTCAATGATATGTGTGGATGTATTAATCAATATTCAAGTAATGATGTATCGCGCTCTTCTTCCTGCAGATTTAACTCATTTATAATGCACATTTGGTGTGGAAAGTTGCAGTAATGGCTGCAGTGATGCGAAATGTCTCCGGGAGCAATGTGGAGGCCCAGCTGATCTATGCCATCACGCTGCCCGTCTCCTGTGCCATTATCCTGATCAACCTGCTCATCATCCTGTGCATCACCTGCAACCGGCAGCTTCACAACTCACAGAACTACTTCTTCCTGAGCCTGCTGGTGGCCGACATGTGCACCGGTGTGGCGCTTCCCTTCATCCCCTGGATGGGCCTAAACCGCCCTCTCAGCTTCTCGTCCTGCCTGCTGGTGCACATCTTTCCCAACTTTCTGTTCCTGGCCTTTCTCTTTAACCTGGTGCTGGTGCACTACGAGCGTTACAGGAGCATTGAGAGTCCGCTTCAGCGCGGACAGCTCTGGCTGCATCGGCGGTTCGCTCTGCCGCTGCTGGCTGTGTGGATGCTGCCGCTGCTGTTTGCACTGTTGCCTGCCTTTGGCTGGAACAACAAGGCTATTCACGATCGGAATGAGTGCTGTCCAATAACTAATAACACGGTGCTCTCTAACTGTGTAGCGCTGTCTGGAGAGCGTTGCTGTACATACCGCAGTGTCTTTCCAAATGCTTTCATCTATTTGGAAGTATATGGTCTACTGGCACCCGCCATCCTCTCCATCGCTGCCATGACGTGCCGGGTGCTGTGGATCACACGAGAACAACTGAGGGACATCCAGCGTCTGCAGCGAGCCGTAGCAAACAGGGAATGCAGACGGAGAATGGAAATGCGTTACGCTTGTTGTGTGGCAGCCGTTTCCCTCGCCTTCCTGACCTGCTGGGTGCCCTACATCGTTTACACCCATGTAGGTGTGGAGTTTTTGCTCCAACGGGGAGGAAAGAGCAATCGCACTGGCCACATTGTGCTGTCCTGTGTTGGCATCGGGGGCATTGCTGTCGTGCCTCTGCTTTTGGGACTCGCCAACAGGGAGTACACAGATCCGGTCAAGAAACTGTTCCGCAAACTGCGGCACCGCTACAGAAATACAAGCGTGCAAATGGACACTAGCCTTCGATTTAGTTGATGTGACTGACTTTTGATTAAGGTTTATGTTTACAGTATTCAGCTAAAGATATCCAGAGCTGTGTTTCATTTTCATCTTTTCTAGTGAATACTGGGTCTGAATGTCAAGAAAAGCTTAAAATAATCTTTATTCAGTGAGATTGTTTGTATAGAAGCAACTGCTGTGACACTCATCTACAATGGCCAAGGAGACTTTATGCACACAAGCTCATCTAAATCTATCTGAAGATAGAGATTTCTAGATTTAAAAAAATAAAATAAAATAATATATTTGTGAACAAATCATTAAAAACAATCAAAAACAAGTCATAATATTCCTGGCAGACTGAACCGGCTTTACTGAGGCTCTCTTTAGCGGCTGATCAGACCTTTGCAGAGGTTAGGAGGTCATTTGAATGAAAGCTGTATTTATTTCT